AGATATTAACATGTAGTGGCTTTTGTCTAGTCATGTACTACTTCCAATTAAAATCAAGGTGTGGTAAATTTCCTGCCAGTTATTAGCAAAATTTAGTTCCTGAATATAGTCTCTGTTATCTGGGCCTTCAAAACCACTTTATAAATTAAATGCATAATTCAGTTGAGAGGCCAGAGAGAGAAGGCGGAGAAGCTCAAGCTACTTGAAGTTACTGTACAGACAGATGCCTTATCTCCTGGAAGAGACCCAGAGCCTGGTGAGAGCTATGGTGGGCAGCCCTCCAAAAGGGAAACACAGAGGCAAGAAAAGGCAAATTTCCCAAAGAAGAGAATAATATGAGCAAAGACATACTCAAATATGTGGGTGGCTCAGATCTGGAGTTGGGTATGGTGGGAATGGTATCGGAGATAAGGGTGGAAATACATCACACAGGTCTTTAGATTCTAGGCGAGAGATTTAGATTCTATTCTTCATGTAAATGAGTACTCACTGAAAATTTTTGAAGGGAATTAACTGTTTCCATCAGAGTTAAAATGCCATTAATTTAAGATATGTAATTGCAGAACACAAGTTGTAAAATGCATCATCCCAGTATCAGAGATAGCAACATGAGAAAAAATACAGAATTCAGAATTCTGAAAGCTGTTCTCAATTGCAGAAGCCTAATGACTTTAGCTATCTACACTAAAGAAAGCAATTTTATTTTTACATCTTTTTCTCACAATAAATCAGGGGATTATATGTCTTCAAAAAAGTGAAAGTATGGTTAACATAAATTAAAATACTTGTAACACTGTTTACTAGTGTCTGTAATAAGGACTTCAGAATTATCCTAATCTTGCCAGTGAGTCACCAAGGACATCATTTTTGTTGAAGCCACAGTCTATATTCCTCACTAGTTATCTGTTTTGCAAATGCATACAAATACTTCTAACAAATGAACACCAGGCCAAGTAGAATTGCAAAATTGAAGGGCTGTGAAGGATCCCAGAAGTTATAAAGTGAAATGCCCCCTTGTCACAGCCTGTGGCCAGCCTCCACTCAGCGTCCTCTCCTGCTGAACCTGAGCCCCATGGGGACAGAGGCTCTGCCTTATTGCCATGTGTCCCATGAATGATACCCTGTGCTCAATAAATACTTGTGAGCCAATGAATGAGTTTTTTTGTGTGTGTGAAGAATTGTACCGCCCATATAACCCATCTGTGTGGAAGGGCTCGAATTGGTGAAATTGTTTAAACTACACTAGAAGCTACCTCTAGGGCCTTCTTATGATGCCTGCCCACCTTCCACATGCAGGCTTTGCAAATACTTTTAAGAAGTTTCTTCTCCAAGCCAAATATTTCTAGTTCATTACACAACTCATCATGTATCTTTGTTTGCAAGACTTTCTACTGTCCCTTATATAGGCTACATCTGGTCAGTTCTTAAACTTGAGGTACACAGAATAAAATACACATCTTCCCCATTGTTGCCTCCCAAGACTAGAGTGGACTTTTCTGTGACTAATCTTTCCAAGCCTTTCACACTCTTGAAAATTATTCGCACATCAAATGACAGATGATGCTGATGAAGCCATGCAGGTAGGTACTATGAACTTCTCTCCCGAGGCTTAATCCACCTGTTAAGGAACCTCTGTGAGGGGCTAGGATGTGAAAAGAGAGATTCATTACTTTCCCCATGCCATTGGATCCACAGTAGAACACTTCTGGGAGCTGTCCTTTCTGAATGGAGGCTGAGTAAGAGTTCAGTAACCTAGGAAATTCTGCCTCCTATTTTGCATGATGAATTGAACTGTAGTGGTCTGAGTGTGAAGGAAGACTTGGTAACTCAGTATCTGAAATCTGAAATCTGAAATGCAGTTTAATTTCCCCAGAGATCTGTTTTGTTTTGCAAATAAATTGCTTCTACTTTTATGACAATAGTGGATTTTGAACCCATTCACCTTAATGTTGGGTAATGAGGTCTATAAAGCAAGTCATAAAAATGCTTTGCTTGCAATGTTATTTTTAGAAACTCCTTATTAAAAAATGCTATGTTTAGAAACTTCTTATGAAAAAATCTTTCTCACTATTAAAAGTATCTGCAATTCTAAGAATCCAGAATTCAAGAATCCTAAAAATGAAGGGATTCCCACAGCGGAAATACAAATTAAGGGAAAAATAATAACCTATGTTTTTACCTGTTAGATTATACAAAGTTTAAAAGGAAATAACATTCATAAGTGACAATAATAAGTCACAGTCAGATTTTGTCATTTGAGGACAAGTTGCTACATAGTAGAGGAAATCACCTGGAAATGTGTGTTAAAATGTAAAATATGCATACTTCTGAACTAGCAATTCTACTTTATGTATGAAGGTGTTTGCTTCAGCATTATTTGTCTCAGTAAAAACCAGAAATAACTGAAATGTATGTATTTACGGTTAAGCAATGAAAAATATTATTTGACTGTAAAAATGTATGTAAATTAGATGTCGATGCTAATATTGCAGGGGTGACCTTGAATTCAAACTAAAAAGTTACAGAGTAATATAAAGACTACAGTCTTTTTTTCTGCAAAACCAAATAACCACCACAACAAAAACCCCATACATGTGTAATTTTATGTTTGTATGAGCATGAAACCTTTGATACTTATTTCCTCAGGAGGGTGAAAGCTTTAGGTCTCCCTAATGAAGGACATCTCCACATAAACATAAATGAAGTAAAAAGAGTACTTGCTACTTGCACAAAGCTCCCTGTATTGTCGCCACACCTAAACATTGCAACATGGAAATTCTGAAGTCATTGTAGCTTCAGAGACTAGATACGGAAAACTGATTGCTCTCTCTCTCTCTATATATATATGATTTTCAAAAATGATCATGTAATATTTTTGGAAGTTAATATGAAATTCCAAAAAAAAAATTGGTGAAACTATTTCAGAACTTTTATTACTATGTGCAAGCCAGGGGTGGGTGACAGGAAGAAAATTAGTTGTAATTACAAAAAAGAGTAGCACTGTTATTTCTCTTTCCATCAGTTCATTCATGTTCTTTTTTCCCTCATCTCTTGTCTGTTTGTCTCCACTGTATCCAAGTCTAGACATTGTCCACCGTGAGGACTAGAAAGGGTCAGAGTGCTTCTCTAAATCATTCCCTAGTCAACGCTTCCTCAGCCTGTTTTCAAGGTTTATCCTCTAGCAGTCGCTTCCAAGCCCACATACTTCATTTCTCAGCCAAAGATCCTGTTGTGAATATAGTAAAAGAGAAGGCCTTTTGAAGAATTAGTTTTCCAGGAGTTTTGATGAGCTGGCTGGCACAAGCTATTGATCTTTCATTCCCATGATCATTTCTCTTTATGGCCAACAGTATCCACCATGGAAGGCTGTGCTTGTGCTCTAAGCAAATTTAGATAACTCTAGTTTCAATTCCACACATTCAGAAAAATTAGGAGGTTCATGCAAACATAGTAACTAGTGTGCAAACTTCCATTATATCAATATGGACTGTCATGTGGGCATTTGGCCTGATCCCTGTAAGTCTAAACTTTTAGAAAGCAGGCACCAAGTCTTTTACTTCATTTTTTTAATGTCTAATAGAGTTCTTGACATAATAAATACTTATAAATGTTCATTGAGTGAAAATATAAATAACTAAGCATTTAATAAGTGCCTATTTAGTCCAAGAATACAGTTTATTTACCTCTTGTGTAAAAAAAGAATAAAAGCATTGCTCTGCATAACAACCTCACAGACTAAACGTGAGAATCAAATAAGGTAACTTCAGTACAAATAGTCTGTGCAGTGCAAAGTGTTATGGAAGAGACAACATTGTTAGGAAGACTGTTGGGATGGACCGGCTTTGACATGATAGGTCTCCGAAGAAGAATACATATAAGAAGTTCCTCAAATCCACTACTGGGAAAAGCACAGTTTCAGAAACACAAATTTGAGGGTTCTCATCCTCAATTGTTCAAGGATAAAAAACAGAGCTTAGTGAATTGACTTTAACTTACTTTAAGTCTTTATTGATTATATTTGGATTACCTCTTGTGCCTCCACTTTCCTTTCGCACCCCTGTAATCATAAGATACATCTTCAGTGGACATCAAGTTCTCAAAATATTCAAAACTAAATATTACTTTAGAAGTTTTTTTGTAAATAAGAAATCATCTCTATGCATCATTTATTATATTGGAATATATAACATGTATTTACTTAGGTGTTTTTTTTCCAACTCTGATGATAATTTCCAGTTTCTGAAAAATTCCTTAACAAGGACTGTTCAGCACAGAGAGAAGAAGGGGTCCATGTGTTCAGCCACTGAGAAGGCCTTGGCTGAGTCGTTAAACCATGTGGGTATGAGCTTGGACCAGATGCTTAATTTCTCTTTGCTTTACTTTCCTTTGAAACTCAAGGAGGTAAGCTGTAGTATCTCCCAGATCACTTCCTTCTCTAACATTTTAAGATTTTATCATTTAATTATATTACCTCCCAATTATAATTCCACTTCAAGCAGAAAAAGAACATAATCCTCTCTCTCAGGTTTGCACAGCTTGTTCACACAAACCAGCTTAAGAAAATTTATATGATGGCCTCACAAGTACAAAATAGAGAGGGTTACTGATATCAATAACTTCATTCTATTTATTAATCAGATCAATCTAAAACTTGCCAAGCTTTCACCTGACTTTGTTCAAATAAACACTTAAATGTCTTAGATCACACTTACACACACGTAAACACTATGAGCATTATTTATGAGATTCCACCCTTTGTCAGTTTGCTTCCTCCACCTGAAAAATCAAAACTTGTAGCACTAACGTTATTTTACTGCAATATTCAGGATTGAGATGTTTTCTGGACCAGGCGAACGTAGGGGAATGAGTGTCTGAGCTAGGACCACCCGCCAAAGCCTGCTGCTTCGCTCGAGGGCGATAAGGATGATGGGCGGGCAATGGGCGGGGCGGGTGGTGGACGGGGGATAAAGGCTGGAGCCCGCGGCAGGGACCAGGGGCACGGAGCTGAGCTGCGCTGCGCTGGACTGAGCAGCACCGCGGACAGCGCCCGGCCCGGGGGTCCTGCCCGCGCACCAACCCACTCATCTTGACACGCACTCCGCTGCACAATGGCAGAGTTCCACCTGCAGTCGTCCCTCATCTCAGCCTCACAGTTTTTCGAGATCTGGCTTCACTTCGACGCTGATGGTGACTATCTTCTCTCCTATCTGTCTAACCCCGCCCCCGCCCATTTGTTCCCTTCTCTGGAGCCTCTGGTCCCATTCCCCTGCTTCTTTACTTCTTCCCCACCTCCTAGCTCCCCAAGCTTACCTTCCGACTGGCGGCTGGCGTGACTGTCAACTTGGAAGTTTATATATTGCTTTTACGTTACCCTAAACCTTAAACTTTCTCTCCAAGAAAGTGGAGGGGGGCAGGGATTAGGGAACCCTGCTCCCCAAAGGTCGCGTGGCCATGCTCAGCAACTCCACCTCTGGGTAATTCAGGTCCTGGCAGGAGAGAACCTCTGCGGTGGCCAGAAAGACACCTCTCCTGGACACTGAACAGGGAAGGGACTGGGATGTTTGAGAACTGGCACCTCTGTCTTTGCAGGAAGTGGGTACCTGGAAGGGAAGGAGCTGCAGAACCTGATCCAGGAGTTGCAGCAGGCGCGGAAGAAGGCCGGACTGGTAGGTTGAAGTTGCAAAGGAGGAAAATATAGATATTCTACCCTCTCATAAAGAGCCAGAGAAGGTCCAGTGGTTTCCAGAGCATGTAAACATCTATTGACTGAGAACGGGCCCTTCCAAATTGTGTAGGGGAAAGGGGAGGAAAGCCAGACAGAGAGACAGAGGGAGAAAGAGGGAGACAAAAAAGAAGGGAAGGAGAGGAGAGGAAAAGAGACAGAGGGAAAGAAAGGGAGACAAAGAGACAGAGAGAAGGAAACAGAGGGAGAGAAACACAGGGAAGCAGTCAGAGAGGGAGAGACAAAGAGACATAGACAGAAAGACAGAGACAGAGAGAGAGGGAGAGACATACAGAGAGACACAGGGAAAGAGAGAGAGAGAGAGACAGAGACAGAGTCAAAGAGAGTAAGTTCCCTAAAGGGAAAAAACTTGCAATCTGAAACTAGAGCATTTAACAGTCCAACTTCTATAGTTGCACTGCCTTAATTGTGAGGAAAGTGTGCATGCTGGAGACCTAGCAGGTCAGCACCCCTGGGTCTGTGCCAGGTAAGTTAATTTTTAACTTCTCTTTAACTGTGTGAGAAGCAAGGGGGTAGAAATACATCTCTGCCCCTTGGTGGTCAGGAAGCAGATCTACAGATTATGCATCTTTTTCTATTGCCAGCTATTGGTGGTGTGATGTCGATGTGGTTGGAAAGATAGAAAAATGCCCTGTTTTGACCATCCTCATTAGGGGAAAGTTGGACAACATGATAATAAGCAAGAATTTAGCAAGAAAGGTATTCATTTCTGTGAAAAGGGAGAAACCCAAAAGTTAGAAATGTAAAAAGTAAAGCAATTTTAACAATTCAGTGTCTTTTTTAAAAGTGATAGTTTGATAATAAGCATGTAATGCCATTTTGAAAATAACCTATATTTGTAATTTAAGTCATTTGTCAATTAAACAAATGACAGTTCTTACTAATTCTGAATGACTTATTTTGCTCATAAATTAACCTGTTAAGAAAAGATGTTGTCAGCATAAAAATAAAATATACCCAGCTTTTAATCATAGATGAGATGATTATATAAAGGAAAATAGGTTAAGAATATCACTAATCTATTGGGATTTATGTAAGATTGCACTCCAGAAGCAGTGCTGGATTTGGTCTAGTTAGATGTTAATCTTTGGATTTTTGACTGTCATTAGAAAGACATTCTACATTAGAGGTTATATATACAAGGGTGTTGCAAAAGTAGGTTTACAGTTGTTCATATGGAAAATAATAAAATAACTAATAAATAATAATACAAAAATAAACTGTGTCACATACTTGCAACTGTAAACCTACTTTTGCTCCACCCTGTGTGTGTGTGTTAATGTGTGTGTGTGTGTGTGTGTGTGTGTGTGTGTATGTATTTGGAGGAAAATATAGCTGTGTATGACCTTTAGGCAATGATCACATTGAATTATATGTAATTATAAAATTGTATATATACACATATATCCTACTAATAGAGATACATTTTGTTCTATATGTGATACACATTTCTGTCCAACATATTCAAAAGACTCTCAGAGGATTTGAAGATGTAATGCATTACAGAACTATCAGTTGCTAAAATCATTAACCAAATCAATTTAAAACCAGACAATGCTCTGGGGATTGTTTTACTCAGATTTAATATTATATAAATCTGAAAGAATAATTAAATATGAGCAAATAAAATATAAAATGTGTTATACATTCTTTCTCTTTACACCCTCCCCATCTTACACATTACTACGTAAATAAATTCATGCAATACCATCATTATAGCTCTATTTATCTTTGACAAATAAAACAAAAACAAGCCTCTTTGTCATTTAAATATAAATTTAAAACATCTGGTTGGAAAACTCTTGCTAAAAATTTTCAAAGCGAAACCTTGTAAGATGCTTCCAGCAGCCAAATGATTATATTTAATTTTTCTAGAAGTAATTTCAATATGAAGATTTATTTTCATCTTAAAAATTCAAATATTTAGAAATTACACATTTTTTCAGATTTTTCTTTTCCTCTTCCCATTTTAATATTTGTACTTTTTTGTAAATAATGACTTTATGTTAGGGGCTTAAAGATTTTAGACCTTAATTATTTTTTTCTATTGACTAGACCCCAGTTTTAGAATATTGGAAACTCTAATTATTATATTATAATCCAACAATACTAAATCTGAGCACAGACACAGTATTATATCAAGTTGCCTAGTACCTTGATTATTGACTGTTTTATAGATTATGTATATAGTCTTCGGATAGTTAAAATCTAAATAATGACCTGAAATGAGAGGTTCATGTACCAGAAAAACAGTTCACTATGCTACTGGCTTAATTGCAATAAACCTATTTTTACATATTTCTTCCCTTTATTTTCTTAGAACATAAAGACTGATCTTATGTACAGGGTTTCATTGCATTTTGGCCTTACGATAATAGATTTTGCTGTATTAATGGAAATGTTGTTTGGCTTATATGAATAATGTGAAATTTCAAAAATTTCACTAATATTAACTATAAGTGAATATAATATTAATGAAATATAACAATCCAATATATCTTCTACCTTTTTACCCTACACATGGTATTTAGTCCTTAAATTTGCATTCATTTTTAAAAGCTTTAATGTATTATTATTATTATTGTTGTTATTATGTTTTACACTGTTTAAAACATTGATTTTGACATCATTACCATCCACAAAACTCAAAAACTAAATGTCAGTTCCACTAGTTAAGCTAGTGGTAATATAGAATTTTAAGATTTAAGAACAAATGCTTTGTCTTCTGTTTACTTTAATAATAGTTTACATTAGTTTACATTCGCACTATTGTCACTTCTACTTTCTTACAATTGTTGCTATAGTAAAATTTAATAAATGCAAATTGGAATTAATTGGTACTAGAAAAGTTTTTTTAAAAGACTGTGTTAAAATTAAATTGCTTCATTACTATCTGCTACCTTAGTTCTACTCACAATATTTATTTTGGTTCATAAAGGATTTTGTAAAACTTGTAATAATGACGTTCAGCCTCAATATAGCCCTTAAATTATATTAACTAGTTTATCTCTAAATCAAATGGCTGGTAAATACCACTTTTTTTTTTAGTTATGACAATAACTGAGACCTTAATTTACTCTACAAGGACATAGAACAGGATATTAATAAAGGCTGACCTACTTTAAATAGGCCTCAGTGAATGCAACAGGGCTGTTACAAATGGCTGTGCTGGAGGCCACGGGTCTATATGCAACCTTCTGAACACTTGCCCTATGTTCAGATTACCACTTCACAGTTCATAGATCTCTAACCTGTCAATATGGGAAGAGATCGTATATGCAATAGAACAGATTGAGGGGGAAAGCCAAGTTATCGAAGCATTCACTTTGTCACTCTTAAACATGTCTGATTGAACTAAAATTCATGGGAGAGAGAACATCATCTCAGGAAAAATTGAAACAAGGAAACACTGGAACACTGTACACATAATCAGTGGCCTAAAATAAGATCATCATTGTTGATCTTATATCTCTAATAAAAATACAAGTTGTTTTTTATCTGACATATTTCTCTGATGTTTAATTTTTTTTTTTATTGAATCAATCAATGCCACTTTTGTGCTAGAACATTCTTTGCTTACAAAGTGAGTCACTCCTCAATGCTCACCTTTTCTGCTTGTCCAAACTGAAAACATATTACCTTCCATGGGGAAATGTGTTAAATAATCACAATATCGTAGGACAATTAGTATAGCAATATGAAAGAATCTCTTCTGAAGCAATGCTTAAAAGTACATTAACAGTGATTATTATATTTAAATTCACTAAATGTTGTAAACTGAATAATTCTGATGATATTTTAAAGGATAGTATATGCTTAAAACTAATAACAGAAGATAAATCATAGTGATTGATTCAGAAATGATCGTAATAGTTATAACTCCCTCATTGGAAACCAGCAAATACTGTATATCAGTTATATATTTAATTTTCATGAAAATAGTTAATCAATATATATAATTCTAAAGGGTTCTAATTCTAGTTTTTCTTTGCAATAAGTTACTAACACCATCACAAGCATAATTGGATTTGGGTTTTACTTTTACAAACTTTTTATTTATTTTTACATAATTTTAGGAGTTATCGCCTGAGATGAAAACATTTGTGGATCAGTACGGGCAGAGAGATGACGGAAAAATAGGAATTGTAGAGGTAAGAAACATGCATTTTTAAGACACAGTTTTAATAAATGGGCTTCATTTTGTAGGTGTATCCAACTCAAACATGATATGGCAAGACCCATTCAGAGAGTCTTACTTTGCTTAAGTAATAGGTTACCTTCTGTTCAGAAAAACAAAATAAAAAATTGTTGAGAAACTAAAGGGATCCAAGAGTTTGTGGAGTCCTCTGCCTAAGTTTGTCACAAGACACTGAGACCTGGATGAGTGAAAGGTTTTGCCCGCACCGGCCAAGTGTCTAGCTCCTGCATGCACACCCATTCCATGACCTCACCTCCCTCACTCGATACAACACAAGCCATGTACATGTTTCACGGGTATTTCTTATTCAACAGAACAAACTTTTCTGTGAAATACAAAATGAAATATTTGCAGCCTCTGACAATGTCATGGCCAAAAGCTGAGTCCTGGTTTCTGAAATTCTATTTTAAATTGGCAGTGAGCCTTAGTGAGTGATTATTTTATGATTTGTTTGAAGTCTCTAAAAGTTCAAAATATGAATGTCAAATCTTATCTTTTGAGGATGACTTTTGTCTATTAATCAAGGGACAAAACCATGATCCCATATTAATGTTTCTGCATTCCCTCACTTCCAGTCTTTCAGATACTGGTGTCTCAGCTACTTCTTAAAGTCTCTCCACCTATTTTTATCTCTATTTCTATTAGAGAAATTGAGTGGACAGCTTTCAGAAAAATTAATAAACTGTTTTAAAATATACTAAATCACAAGCATAACTGTGTTCTTTATATAATGTATGTTATATACATTGTATTAGTGTGTTAGATTGTGACATATTCTGGATATTAACAACATGTAGTCATAATTTACCTTTGATTCAGAGATTTACCTGGTTTTCAAATAATTCATCTAATAAGACAGTGGTGATGTCAATGTGAAATACACTTATTTTTAAATAGCTACTACAAATAGAGTTGAAGGATATACTATTATCTTTGTAATTAAAGTATTTTTCTGGAGTATGCACTTTCCCTTTTCTTATGTGTAACTCATTGTTATGTACAGAGATAAATGAATAATAGTGAGACTTACATAAGAAAGAGGCCAAATGATACAGATGTGGAGTCATGGTGCATAAAAAGATAACTTTCAGATCAGCTGAAACAGAAAAGTTAAAAGGAGAGAAGTGAGACATATAAGATGAATTGGAAGGCTTAGGTATTACAGCACATGGAACTTTTGCTAGATGGGACCTTTGGGGAAAACTAGCCAAAATTCCTCATTTTAATGATGAGAAGATTGAAGGTTGAATGACACATCCAAGTCCCCGCTGGTGTGTACTGAGAAAACCTAGATCTGACTCTGACCCCCAGAATGCTTTTCATCAATCTGAGTTCATCAACCCAGGCTCAGGAGGTGGGGATGGGGTGACAAGTGAAGAGGAGAGAATCAGGGACCTGGTAGAGGGGAGACAGGACGGTAGAAGGGGAGGATGGGAGGACGAGGGAGAGAGGTGGCTGCAGTGGTTCCTGTGAATGTTGGTTCTGTCCAGGATAGTTAAATCAAGTTGAAGAGAGAAGCAAGAGGTTCTGAAATACTGGGAAAAAGAGACAGAGCTCCAAATCACAGGTTGAAAATTGGTCAGAGGAGGGGAGTGCCTGCACTTAAAAAATGCCCTCTGGTGTCACAGGGAAGTAGTATTAAATCAAGTTCATCTCTTGTTTTCCAACCTGTCATAAGGTGTCACTTGCTAAGAAATACAATATATAACATGGGACACAAACACAGACATCCCAGCCAGCTATGAAGGAAAGGAAAATCCATGTCTTCCAATATTAGTTTTTACCTACCCACTCACATCTTGCACCATGAGTCTGGTGTTCATAGAAAAAAAAGTTGAATTTGCCTAAATGTTATGTCAACTTAATAGGTGACTCATCAAAATCTAATCTGAAGCCTTGACCGGTGTGGCTCAGTTGGTTGAAAGTTATCTCACAAAGCAAAAGGTTGCCAATTTGATGCCTGCTCAGAGCACATGCCTGGGTTGTAGGCCTGGTGCCCCAGTCAGGGCATGTATGGAGGCAACAGATCAATGTTTCCCTCATACATAAATGTTTCTCTCCCCTTTTTTTGCCATTCCCTTCTCTAAAAATAAATAAATAAAAATTTAAAAAAAATCAAATCTGAGTAAACCAAATGACATTCATGCAGCTCTCCTGGTGGGAACAGACTGGATTGATTAGTCCAACTGAAATATGTTTGGAAAAAATCAGGAAGGATAGTGGTTAATTTTCAAAGTTCTCTTCTGAAGAAGGTGACTTGACACTCGCCAACAATGTGCTTTTTGTACCTGAAAACACATGAAAAGGGTGCTTTCTTCTGAAGTTTTTAATTTCATATATTTAAATAGATTTTAAAATTCAGACATGGTTAAGTAATAAAGATATTGTTAATATGAAGTCAAAACAGATCAATTCTGAGATAATTTAACAAGTACCGTAACAGTTAAAAATGCTCTAAATTGATGGAGACTAATGGCCCTATTGCAGAGAAAGCTGATTAAAATAATTAAAGAGGAAGATGAATGATTTAGCAGATAATGGAAATTCTCTCCAGGCTCACATTAAGAATAGGTACTTTCCTTGGTGGGATGTAGAATCTGCAAGCTTGTACCTGACCCCTGGGCATGAGTGTAAACCCACCCACCTCTCTGCACTCATTGTGTCTATTTGTCCAGGTTACTACATCTGCTGAAGAGATAGACTAAGAGCTATTTTAATCTCAAAACAGTAGCATCTTTCTCAGGGATTTCCCTGAGGGATTTTCCCTAGCCATTCCCTTCTTCCATAGTGGGATGTGACCATGTGAATTCAGACACAATGAATATCATTTTCTGGCAGACTATTTTTTCACCTGAGAACTTGGGAAAAATGACATACAATGAAATGTGATTTAAAACTGCACTCTGGATAGATTTTTTTAAATGGTATATTAGGAAAACTTTTTTGTTTGAAGGTTTTAACTGAAGGCGATGATGGTAAAGGACCAGGGTCTCAAAATCAAGAAAGTCAGGCTGTCTAACTTAAAATCTGGCTCAAACTAAAAGCTATATGGTAGTAGCCCATCTGTCCTAAGAGCCACTCTCTCCTTGGCTGTGAAGAGAGGCAACATCTGAGTATCGACATCAAATGTGACAATACATGCCAACCAAATAGATAAACTCTGACACACTGCAAAAGTCAATAAATGTATTTGCTATTATTATTTAAAATAAAAATAATTCATTGGAAAATCTATTACACTCTTCTGAATGCCAAACCTTTTCCCTTCTTCTTATATAACTTGTCAAATTCAAACTGTTAAATTCAACTAGACTTAAATGCATATGAGCTGGTTTTTCTTCCAAATTTCCTGGATCCCCTTTTTATTGGCTAGGAAAAACCATTCCTCTGGTTCCCAAATGAAAAGTGAATGTTTTGCGAATACTTATGGAAGGAGGTTAACATGCAACAGGATTGTCTTAAGCATTAGGGTTACTCTCTGTATGAACTTTGCTGTGTCTCACTCAGTCACTGTTTCTAGTGAAATTGTCCTTCTCCTGGTACTTAGCTCTCTCACTCTATATACTTCCTGCTTTGAACTTGTCTGTCTCCCTGTAAGATTCTTCCTAGGGTAACTGGGTCTCCAAACCCCACATGCTTGCAGTACAGCTCCGTGCCACAGCAGGGATTTCAGTCAACTCTAAACATAAAGCAAAGGCTCTGGAATAGGACAGCCACAGAGATGGGAAGCAGAGACCCACTGCAGTGTTAGCTTCCTGGGAAGCAAGGCTGTCTTGAAGATGAGAAATGAGGAGTTTTATTAGAATTGCTCTTGGGATCAGTACCTGTCAAAGGTGAATGGGAAGAGCAGGACTGGGCAGAGGGAGACGCTGGGCTGTGATACAGCCCTCCAGAGGCTTCAGCAGACCCCACAATGTGCTCAAGCTAGGAAGATCCTTCAAACATGTCCCAAGTTTTGAGTGAGGGGGTTGGGCCTTTTTATGGCCTTGTGTCCTTTGAGACACAGCTTTCTTCAGCCCAGGTCATCTCCTAGAGACGTGACAGCTGAAGCCACAGCAATGCTCCCAGCACCAGAAAGTTGCTCTGGATGGCATGTCACAGTGTGCACCCTGCCCCACCCACAGCTCAGTAATGTTTGCAAAGGAACTGTACTTCACTTACACCAACCGTAAACAGAGTCAGCAGCCTTCTCACTGGGTCAGTAAAATGTTGACTGAAAAGTTAAAAGGTGCTAGGCAAAGAAAGAGTAAGCAAGGAACAGATCCCATCCTCCAGGCATGTACAGACTAGTAGGGCAGTCAGGCAAGTGGGAAGAAATATTTGCCTCCCCGCACTCTGTGACAGGCCACCCATGCTCACAGATGAGTCTCCATGTGGCCACATTTATCTGCCTTCCACTCATTACCTTGACATTGTTCACCTTGTCTCCAGCCCATGAAAACATTTTGGGGTTCATAAAAGAGTAGACAATCAACCCAAGGACTGAAAAATCCCCAGTAATCTTGGGACAGGCAACAGGACACTTCTCTGGTCAGCAATAATCCAGCAAATCTGAAACAAGGCAACACTGCCTAACACCTGTACTGAGAGACCCTGCACTTCGCAGACATGGCCTGAGGCATGGGGCCACTGCACTGAGCAGCACACCTGGAAAAGGTGGTGCTCATTGTCACAGCAGCCCTGTGCTATCCATATGGTCACTCCTTCTTTCTCAATGGCTGGTGTCTCTTATTACCTTCTACATGTTTATAATTTCTAATGTCTACAAAATAGGATGGTACTATACTCAGTTTAACATGAAGAGTTCAGTGAAATTAAAAGATGGAATATGTTGCATGTAGATATAATCTGTTTTTTTAAAATAATTAAAACAAATAGGACCAAATGGCATGGGCAAAGAAATGTACATTTACACAAAAATGAAGAGTGATTTTGCCATCTCTAGGTCGGACATTCTGAAGATCTCTGAACTTCATGTGAGTTACATGAATTTTAATTTTTGAAACAAAGATGGTTAAAATTTTCCTAATTTACCTTTGGTCATTGCTTACTAGCTTGTTCTTTTATTTGTTCTGTTTTCATGTATTTGGAGGATTTTGATAACTAGAATTTAAGAAAAAGTATTTTTTTGTTCAAAACAAAGCACAATAATTATGAAAATCCAATACAGAAAACTACAGTGAGCATATGAAAACAAAGTACTGACTATAAATCATGTTAAATGGATATTTTCAAAAAGTAAAATGATCAATCAATCCACAGCATCTGTGTCAGGCACATAAGGTGCTGAGTGCCCCATGGTGCATTTAGGGGATGCACCAAGAATTACATCTGCCCTTCTGGAAGGGAGAGTCTATGGAGACATCCACCAAAACCTTGCAAAATATATCTGATAAGCTCCATACCAACAAATACAGGAAGGGTTGGCTTTGACTAGTTCCTATTTCCTAAATGAACGCTTATGTTAATGCTCAATCAACCAGTGACCTTTGTTCAGGATAAACAAACAAATGTTTTCTGACTGAGCCACACTAAACGTCCTTATCCCTTAGTTTCAACCCCCTTTGTAGTGCCAATAAATGGAATGGTTCTAATCTGAGATGTTATTTTTAAGATCTAAAAACAATGTAAGTTAAAAGACATTTTATACAGGCATGAAAGAGCTGAAATTACTCACATATAAAGTAGACTGATATATTTTATTTTAAGTTTTTTACTGGACCTAAATGGATGAAAAAAAATGTTTTTTAAGTATGAGGGGTCTTTTCAATAGTTTAGCAGAACTTTTGAACATACACAGACCTTAAATTTAATCTAGACTCCACGTTCTCAGTTTGACATCCAGGGACCAGGGTCTATGCCTGCAGTTCAGGGTTTCTCAACTTCTGGAAATTACAGATGTGGTGTGAGTGTATTCTTTAATGTTGGCAATAGCCATTCTAATAGATGCTCACAGTCTTTTTACACCCACTACATTTAAGGAACATTGGATTTTATGTCAACTCTTTTTAGTGGTAAGAGCAGAAATGGCTCAGGGAGTTGCCAGGAGCATAGGTAATTAGCAGCTGAGCCAGGAATAGAACCCGGGCTGCAGCGAGGCCATCAATCCAGCTCCCTCCCTCCGTGCACACAAGAGATAAATTATGTTCATCTTAAAATGAAAGCTGGAACCCTTTTTTTCCTCAAAAAATAAAAGGGGCATTGAAGTTATGAAATGAGATCTAAGGATAAATGTCACAGGGTCACGAAAAGGGAGATTATAAAGTAAACCCAAGCCCTGAATTCAAGCAACAGAAATCCCTGTCACTCCCCCATTCCCATTGTTGACTGGAGTTGTCTTCTCTCACTCTTTCTAGAGCCTTCAGTTATCTCAGGCTCATCTTCCTCCTTGGACTTGGGGATGTTTTTTCTTCCTAGAACCCTTTCCTCTACATTCATACTACATTTTCTTTCCTGCCACATGAAGTGCATGGCCCACGTGTCCTGTTCTTTGTGCCTGAAAGGAGCTTGTGACACAGAACAGAGGGAAAGTACAAGCCAGTGACAGGGCTGCATGATGTTGGGAAGGTTGAGTGACCAGCTATAGCCACTGCCCTCACCAGGGAAGTACAACAGGGCAGCCAGGCTGGGAAAACCCTGGCTTTCTAGGAACAAAGTATCAAGAAGGAAAAGTTGAATCTAATGTGTTTCCTCTCCTGGTTTTCTAGGCAATGAAACTGCCCCCAAAGCACATGTTCAAGAAAAACTGAGCAGCAGCAAATGCCACAGATTTGCTCTCAGCTCCTCACACACGTTCTAAATCTTTTGCAGCTGGCTCACGTGTTACCCACAGAAGAGAACTTCCTGCTTCTGTTCCGATGCCAACAGCTGAAGTCCTGTGAGGAGTTCATGAAGGTAAGAGACAGCTGTCACTGGGTCGAGGCTCAGAATGCTGCTTTCATTAGGCAGAGTGTGGGCTTTATTGTAACATGTTGGTTTTCCTTGTCCACAATTACTTACAGACATGGAGAAAATACGACACTGACCACAGTGGCTTCATAGAAACAGAGGAGCTGAAGGTAAGCAAGTTCTTCCCTTTCAAATGCAATTATGAACTTTGTAGCTTTTTAAAAACCTTCCAGAAAAGAAACTGACCTTAAGCAATGACACATTTTCACCCACATTTTCACATTGTCAATGAAGAACCAGATCACAAAAGAATATTCAAGTACTTCTTGAAATTCTGTTTAGCAATGCAAGAAATTAGCAATTTATATAACACAAATTGTTATATAAAATAGATATAACAAATACTAAGCTGAATATGCTACTCCTTTCCATTGAAATTTGATAGTTCTTTATATTAAACACCTATATAAATAGATTTCTCTTTGAAGAGAACAAAAGTTAACAAATATTGGATACCCACTATCCATCAGGTACATTACACACTATTGTGTCTAATATCGGGGTAAGCTCTGTGAGTTCAGTTTTGTCCCCCATGAGGAAAAAGTAAGAAGTAGAGTGAGGTCTTGATGGCCTCCAGAAATCAGAGTCAGGGTTGGTGCTTCATTGAACCCAGCTTCATTGGCCTCACAGCCTCGACACCCATACACCCTGCCACCTCTTGACAATAAAGTCCTTTTATGTATAACATATACAATTGATCAGACTGTTGAAAAATGCTACTTTGAAAATGAACATATCTGTTCATATCCACAGACTACAAAGGAGCTGGGAAGGGGCAGGGCGAGATAATGGAAAGGCCAGAAGATCTGAAATCATCATCCCCTGTACAAATCTTTGTTTCATTCTGTCTGATATTTATATCTGTAGTATGGGGGTAACAGCACCTTCTCAGATTTATTGTGAAGCTCAAGTAACATGTTGCACATGAAAGATTTTGTGAAATTCAAGACAAAATAAATTTTATCACTCATGAACTCAATAATTTACTAGCTTTCAGAAATATGGAGTCATCAGTTTTTCATTTCCTTATATCAATCCCAAGACTTCTCAGTCCAGGCATCCCTATTTTCACTATCTGCAAAACATGGTGACTCAAAGGGAAACATATTTATGTTTATTGAGCACCTACTGTGTGGCAGGAACAGTATGAGGTGCTTGAACTGTATTTTAACATTTAATGCTTACGGGAAATTTACCAAGTAAGTGTTATTATTGCCATTATACAAATAAAGAAACTGAAGTTCAAGGATATTGGATAATTTTCAAGGTTATGCAGCTGTCTGGGGAAATAAACACATGTGGACCCAGTCAGAATATGAAATCATGTCACAACATTTTCACCACCACCGAAGAACACATTTCCCTCCTTAGAGCTGCCTCCTCTGCAGCCACAGAGAAATATGAATATAAATACAGGTTCTTGGTCATATTGGACATGGGACTTGGACCAATTCAAGATTGCTAAAACATATTCACTTATAGCCTCTTGAAAATGTAAACATTTTAAATGTGAAATCACCAAAAACAAGGTCTTTGGTAAACTTGCAATTCAGTAATGTAAAGCCCACAAGGTGACAGCTAAGCTATTGTGTTTTTATCCCATCGAACCAAAAAAAATTCTTTTGAAAATTACTTCAAGTTTGTAATGAAAAGCTTAGCTCATCTCCAACACTGACCTCAAAATATTCTAAAGGTCTCCTTCTTTGTTCTAAATTTTGTTCTCAGAAAGAGATTCTAAATAGAAGTCCTCCTCTCTGGGGAATTTTGCAGATAAGTTGGCATTCTTTTTTAATGGATCTTTCAAGAAAGCTAATTTTAAGATCTATAATAGAGTAAAACATCACTTGCAAGTCTCTGACACGGCTTCAAACCTCAGTCCCAAGGTTTCTTCCAAGCTATTTTTGTGACCACCATTTTTGTCTCTGTTGAGGATTTTTAACCCAATTAATCTCTGACAAAAACCTCTGATAAAATTCACCGCTAACAGATAGTTTCAAATTTTCCATGCTTCATTTTGGATTTGAAGTGGAATGTTTGAAGTGAAAATAAATTTATCAACCCTCACCCCCAAATGTCTCCTTTTGTGAAAAGAATGAAGTTACATCAGCCCTGAAGAGCTGATACACTTCCAGCTCTTCACAAAAACCCTGCAGAACCAAAGACATCCCAGCCTCCCATAACATCCATGCACAGATATGCCCATATTTCACGACAGCGTTAATCATTTTCTGAGAAGATAAGGAAGTGAGAATGAACAGCACTAGACAAAAATGAAAGACTGGTATTTGCTAACATGGTTCAACTGTCATTTCTATGGCAAGCTTTTATAAAGGTTTTATGTCTCTGTTAAAAAAAAATTACACTCACTCTTAACCTCTAGTTGTCAAATTAACAGTCACTTTTTTCATCCTCTACATATTCTTCTCCATGTTAATATGATCACATATCCTCCAGAGATGTGAGGACATCTCCTGTGCCCACTCTGTGACTGCATCCCAAAACTAACAGCTGCTCTCTGAGGAAAGGAGTTTCATGCTGGCTGTAAATACTTGAAAGTAGGGTTCACTGATAGTCTCTCACACAAGGTGTGAAGTACAGAGAGGTGCCTTGTGTTCCTGCAGAGTCACCCAAATATTGGTGAGGGTATCGTTATCTAGAAATGCATCCATGGAGCTGGCCGAGTTCACAATTTTGCTCAGATTCCTACACAGTATACAATTCAGATACTCCTTTACTTGATACCATAAAAGCAGTGTCACACAGACTAGGACAGAGCAGCTCAGGGAAAGGCAGACACTGTACCTTCAAGGGCAGCGTCTCTGCTGGAATGCCAGGAGGACCACATGGTCTCATCGCCTTTCTAAGCTCCTCACATAGTTCTGCTCTCAAAAAGAGACTCCACAGACATGACGTTTCGTGGCATGTGAAACAGAAGCACTCTGTTATGGATGAAATTTATCTGAGTGTTCTCTGTTTTAACAGAACTTTCTGAAGGACCTGCTGGAAAAAGCAAACAAGGCTGTTGATGATACAAAACTGGCCGAATATACAGACCTAATGGTAAGACCAATCCTGAAAAGACTTTGGCCAGGAGCCTTGTTCATTCCCAGGCTGCAGAGAATGAAATAAAAAAACCCCATCATGTGGGCACCACATCACATAGGTCTCATTTCACTTGAAAAGCTAATCATGTAAGGATGTTAAGTCCTTGTAAGGTTCAGTACTGCAGGCTCAACAGAAGAGCACTTCCCTTCTTGTGCAGTTGGTAATTTTATCTATCCAAAAATTACGTGTTTTTCTTAAAAGCCAGGGTAATTATATCACTCACTTCTATAGCTTATACATAGGTAAGTTACATTATAAATATGTAAGTTATAGTACTAAAAGCTTATTTATTACAGAAGTTCTGAATCAATTTTTATCACTACTTGGGAAATCATAGATTTTGTTAGAGTTTAGAGAGTTTATAGCTACTTTACTCATTGAGAGACTAACAATGGGTATTTCTACCTCTTACTTTTGATTTTTGATATTTTGGAATATTATCTTGGTGCTTTGGGTGAAGAAATCCAAATACACCTTTATTCTGATGTTATGGTGAACAGTATAAGTGAAATCTATTGTAGAATGTTGAAAATAGAGCCAAGAAAACTGCTTTACACACAGGCACTTAATGTTTTAGGAATGAACATCAAATAAATTTATGAAGTCCCAGATAAAATCATCTCATGCTCTTTAAGTTAATTAGGTTCAAGTGGGTAAAGTTTGCTAATTTTGACTCATTATAGCATTAGGACTAAGAGGATTTTTCCTAAACTTCCTCCAGGTTTATATTTTGACATCATTATTTTATTTACTTTTTGAAATTCAAAATTTTATTATTCAGATCAGTACATGTTTATATGTCCATGCTTTAAGGACTGTAAAGTTACAGTGAATCCTTACTTTGTGGACTTAAATAAATCACCCAGAAAATATTATAAAAACTATGCTGTATTAGATTAATTACTGAGAAGTAATCTTATAAAGGATTTGATTATATTCGACGTAACTAAGGTTCACTTTTCACCTATCAGCCTATTTCATGTGGGGAAAAACCTCTAGGACCTAACTGTTATCTTATTCTTTATACACTGATATTTATTATAAAGTGGTAAGGAAGTGTCCTCATTGAAGCATCAGCATACAATTGTGTCACAGAGGGCAGATCTAAGCACTGACTAACTTTTGAGAAAATGACAATAACCTACATTTACCAATTTTCTGTTTTGTACCAATCTTAAGGGATATCTATTTAAAGTAAAGATTCCTTTCCAGGTAGAAATTTGAAGCAATCTTTTTAAAACCCTCAGATGGGAGTTTTCCCCTGTTGGACTGGCCTGACATATCTGATTAAATGTCATAAACCAGTTCAAATCTGGGAAGCAAATTAATCAAGAGCTAATTAAAATTTAAATATATGTGTGAGGAAATATTTCCCTATGGGCACTAAATGTGTGATCTGGTGTCCAGTGTCTTGGCACTAATACTAGTGTAACAATGTTAGAACTGATGATCAATGAATTATAAAATGTGTCAGCATAAGATCACAAACAATTCTGCCTCCCACCACAGGATACCTAAAAGAGGCCTCATTCTGACCATGATCACATTCCTTTATGAACAAAACTGATGCATTTTCACATAGTTCGTATAGACATTTGATATATTTCATACATAATTCTTCTATCTAATATAGCATAGCAGTATTTCTACCTGTCACCCAGTGTGGGTGTGTGTGTGTGTGTTTACATCAGGTATGTCTGGTGTGTGGTGTGTGTACATGTCATCGTCAGGTTGGGGGCTTTACATAGTATCCAGCATCCGAAGGAAACTAAAACGATTCCATATTACTCAAAACTTCTATTCTCCAAGGATTTATTCATAGTATGCGTCTAGTGCTTCTCTGTGTACCAAGCTCTTTTAGAGCTTGGTATGCTCTAAAAGAGTAAAACAAGTATTTCTTTTCATACCATTGTTTGGAGAGTTAGGATGTGCTACACACTATAAGACAGCATCTCCCCCACATCTTGATACATACAGGGGTGGGTAAAAGTAGGTTGAGAGTAAGAGTGCATAAAACACAGAATTTATTCTTATATTATTATTTATTCTTGTATTACTTATGCTTTTTATTTATTACAACAGTAAACATGCTTTTTCCCACCCCTGTATATGGACATATTTGCAAGAAAAGTAAATGATAGTATTCTTGAAGGCTAGTTAAGATCACTACTACAGTTTGACTAAATTGTTCTGAGAAACTTTGGCAGTTACACAAGGTATAGAATTGAAAATTTGCACTGAAAGTTTAAGAAATGCTATTTTCTACGACGTTGCTATCTATATAAGAAATCAGTATTTCAAACTGCTTTATTTTGTATTTTCTTCTCCCTCATGCAATAAATTATTCTTCAATGGCTGTCTTTCTGTCTTTCAGCTGAAATTATTTGATACAAATAATGATGGGAAGCTGGAATTAACTGAGATGGCCAGGTGAGTTTAGGAACTGTGCAAATATTTTCATTATAAGCTGCCCTTTGTCAAAAAATCTAATCCATTAATGTTGTGTTTTTCTCTCAAAAGGTTACTACCAGTGCAGGAAAATTTTCTTCTTAAGTTTCAGGTATTTCTCTTTTTTTTTTTTTTATCATAAATAGTATTTTTCTTAGACAGTTAAAATGTAGGAGAGCCACTAAGAAAATCACAATAAAACCTACTAGCAGCATTTTAACCTTTGCTTCCTTCTCTATCCTCCAGGGAATCAAAATGTGTGGGAAGGAGTTCAATAAAGCTTTCGAGTTATATGATCAGGTAAAAGTTTGTTCTTATATTTAGAATTTGGAAAATGCTGACTGAGGGAAACCCCTCAAATTCAAGGTTCATATTAAAAGCAACATGACCTATTAAAACCACCCAGCTGATTCATTCTCTTCATGGGAAGTGTATTGTGGTATGTCCCAAATTAGGCAAGTGTTGCTAATCCTACTCTATGATCTACCTGCTGTGAGGCTTTGAGTAAGATACCAAACTCCGCTGAGCCTGAGTTTCCTCACTTGTAAACAAGAGACATAACACTCATTCTGCAGGTGGGATGAGGATTATTCTGGATGAAAATATCCAGCAGATTCCCCCTACCTAGTGGAAGGCACCACTACTTGTATGCATGTGTGTGTGTGTAAAGGCTGTTTGCAAGGCCACTAGTTAACCTCTGTTATTTGCTCTCAAGTCAGTAGTCTGGACCAAACTGGTGTGACACCAGACCGGTCACATGGCTTCCCCAGGCCTCCATGTCCTCACTCAAATGAACACATAGTGACCACTTACTTCAACAGGAGGTGATGTGAACATAAAGTGAAACATTAAATATGAAGTTTTTTAAAAAGTTCAAAGTATGTTACAAATGTAAGGTGTTGAATAAGGCACTTCAGATCTATTCTGGAACTCCAAAGCAATCAGAAATGCAGGGGGTCTGACAGAGGGTTACAATACTGCCCAGGATGCAAGGGGGGATTTTCTGAGCATTTCAGTTGTTTGCATTGCCCTTCATTGCCATGGTGTTGGGGAACCTGCTTTGCTTCTCCTCCCTCAGGACGGCAATGGATACATAGATGAAAATGAACTGGATGCTTTACTGAGGGATCTGTGCGAGAAAAACAAACAGGTAATTAGCTACCGTGCACTTACTTCTAGGCAGACTTTATGGATCCATCCAGACACAACCACACACCACTTTCAGAACTCTAAACATTTACAGAGGAGCAGAAGTAAATTTCAATTCTTACCCTGATTTGTTAACTGTGATCAAAAGATTTTAAAACAACCTTGTGATGTCCCACATTTGTGTAAGAATGTAATCTAGCTCCTCTCAATAGATTGATGTGAGGAACAGTTTTCATGTCTCATTTTTACACTGGGCCATGGTTACCTCACTTCCACATGTAACTGGACCATATTCCCTTGTGTTCTGTGCAGGATCTGGACAGTAACAATATCCCTACCTACAAGAAGAGCATCATGGCTTTGTCGGATGGAGGGAAACTGTACCGGACTGACCTTGCCCTCATTCTCTGTGCTGAGGATAACTAGGGTTGTGACTGCAGTCACTCACTAGTGATACACTGTATCTAAAAATAACTGTGCACTATAAGGGAGTAGTCTGTATTTCCTTTTATATGTGTAAATTTAACTGCATATAAATAACTTCCCAGGGTGTGTGGCACAATCTTTTCTGCTTGTTTCTATACTGTTTGAAATGTACAGATTTTGTAACCACACTGAAAAAAAGATTGTCTGTGCATAGGCCAATCAATACACCCATTTAAAAAAATAACCTGACATATTCTTGCTTTCATACATAGACCTGGAGATGATTTCCCTAAAAGTTCCACCAGGATTAATCTCTTAAAATTCTAGTGTCTGATGTGCTCATGCAAATTTCTCACTGCATTCTTATTTCAGACAATCATAGGTCTATGCCACAAAATCGTTCTAAGCTGTATTTCCAATTATTAGGAGGAACTTGCTTTTGCATCTAAAATACCAAAATATCTATTCATAGTTAGTTAATTGTGGATCTGTGATGACAAGATTTAGTTAATCAACAACACATCTCCTGCTTGCACCCACACCCATCTGCTGGTTCAAGGTGATCTGATGACAGGACAGTGCTAGACAATGCATAAATGTGCCTGATTCCGTGTCTCTTTTCCAACAAACCCACTGTTGAAGAGTATTGCCTCAACCCATTTCTAAACTGTATTCATGTGTTGCAGATGATAATTATTCAAGTACAATGTGGTTTTATGTCATATTCTGCATCATCTCTGATTAAAATATATGTGCTGAGTATCCTGGTATCTAGTTTGTGTCCCTCCTGGCTTTTCTTTCCATGCAGAAGTGCTCATTCCCACCAAGCATCTCTGCTGCCTCCAAAATTACTTTCTAGTTCTAACAACTCCACTTTTTACTACATCACTGAATTCTAATGTAAAATCCATTAGACCCTGATTATTTAGAGTTATGTCAATAACTGTATTCTGTGAATTCTCTGTTCCATGTTGACATGAGCATTCAAAATAATTGTATTTCTATCTGCAAATAGTTTCAAATAAAAATAACATGCGAATAGAAATGCTAGTGTAACCATTCATATTGTTTACAAAGGGAGATTTAAGGCATCTTTTGACCCCCAACTCACAGTCTGTGTTCCTGTTGCTGGGAGGTCCCGCTCTGGGTGAGTCCCAGTGGAGGTTGTGACTCTCTTGATGTGAAAGTCATCATACCCACGAGTCCGCAGTCTGTGGTCTGAGTGACCCAATTCAAGAATTCAATGCCAACTTTCTTAATTCATAGAAATAACAGTAAAAACGTGTTGTGTCTCTTCTCCCTGAATGAAGGACATCTGTCCAAATTCAGAATTTATGATACCATGTGGGTGGCAGGGGCTTCGCTGCTGGTGAGCACTGATGACGAATAAGGAGAAAAGTGAACCTAATCTCTTGTATTTACATGTTGAAAACGTTGGTGGCACTCATCCACTATGGTAACACCTGCAACTGTGAGCTGCTGATGCTTCATGGAAGGGACAAGTGCCTCCAACAGGGAGGGTCATACACAGAAACCCCAAATGTCCAAATATTTGGAGTTTTTTATCCAACTAACTTTAAATGTTTCTTCATGAAGTATTTTTACAGGAACAGGAGCGACACACAACTTTCTCCATCCGTCACCAGGAGGCTATGTCACAGCAGAGAGGACATGGGTGGGGTGTCTGTGCCTGAGATCCCTGTCACCAGTCATCTCTGGCCAAGTTGACTGTTGCTCCCAGACTAAGTCTGCAAGATGACCACAGTAACCATTACTCCAGGGCTAAACCAGTAGAGTCACCACTGTGACTGTCACTCCTGGGGAGAGCTGGTGTGGTGACCTCGCAGACAGCCACTCACCAACAGTGACAGAGACAAGTGGAGAAGCCAGACAGGTTCACACCCAGAGTACTGTCCACAGAGGCAGTGCAAGCTGAGATGTGACCATGTGAGGAGAAGGTGCTGTGCAGGACAGGACTGCCTGTGTCTGAAATGGGGGAAGCAGGTTGGGTCTGATTAGGGAACTAGGGCCACGATGAGAGCATCGTGAAGAGGCCCTATCACATCTGCATGCAGTCCTTTTATACCTTGAGCTCCTGAGGCTGTGCCCCTAAAAACCACTCCAGCTGTGGAAATGTGGGCAGAACCCACATTCCACAGCCAGGAGCCTGCATGTGCCCATTGTTGGTACAGCTCTGGTTCTCCAAGGGTCACTTCCTCCTTGTAATTTCCAACAACCTAGAGCATGTGCAGCTGATGAAGCCTTGTGTCCAAAGCATGTGCATTTCACTCCTATGAAAAAAATACAAAAATGCAATCAACAGAGAAGTGGTTAAGAAAGCAGTCTCTCCACAATAAAAGGATGTCCAAGTATCCACAAACAATGGAAGTCACTGGGGTTATCAGGGACCAGGAGAAACTGACTCTGCACCCATCACAACGGCCAAGATTGTGGTGTGGATCCTGAGGATGAAATGGTCAAGGCACAATGACACAGCCTGTTCAGGGGGACATTAGATGGAGGTATTTGGACCAGGCAGCAGAATCCACTGAATCTGAAAACATGCCCCTCACTCCAACATCCCTCCAGGTCATCAGCCCAATTGACAAGGCTACTAAATCCTTCACTCACACTGGGCAGTTGTAACCAAGAGGATGCAAAATGAACTGCTACACAGAGAAAAGGCAGAAATGGAGAATGTAGTATGATTCCATCTGGTCAAAAGCAGCTGGCCCTGCTGTCAGAAACAACACTACTTCGTTTCAGGGACAGAAGGGTTTTGATGGGACACAGCAAGGCTTTGACTCCTGGTGGCATTTCTTCCCTGGTACATTATTCATGTGTATTCATCTTGTAATAATTCATGACTTTTGTTCTTTTTTTGGTCCCACATCAAGAAAAAGACTAAACCATTCACGGTGTGTGACCTGGGTGGAGGGCACAGTGTGCTGGAAGCAAAGTTGGCAGGATCTTCCTTGAAATCATATATTCCACGTGTTCTCTCTTTAACTCAACTATTATTTACCTTGCTGTTGAGAAATGTAAGATCTTAGAATAAAATTAAAGGGACTAAGTTTGAGAATGAATCTATGAAAGTATAATCATTTTTACATTCAAGGAACAAAATAATGTTGATCAAGAACAAAAGAAAAATAATGGGTTTTTCCCCTGGAAAGACATTTGCAATAGAACCACATCTCATGAAGTTGATTGTTACTGTTTGTTGATTTAAATCAGGATCCCAAGAAATTGGTCCAAATGGGTAGGAGACATAAGCTTGACTAACTGTAACTTTGGGCAGTGCTGCCTGTGGTGGCCTCAGTCCCCTCAACTGTACAACCAAGGGGTTGAGAATAATGTCTTCCAGGCCTTCCCAGCTCTAAAATTCTATTATTTAAAATCACTTAAATTCCCACTGATTTAGTTTTCAACAAGAACCATAATGAAATACCTGTTACTCCACGCCAGAAACATTTTCTGGAGGTGTTTTCATACATTGTCAGGTGAGTGGTATTGTTACAATAATCCTCACTGTAATTTTCTAAGTATTAACTCTCCCATCAGTGCAGTAGAAGCAGGACTCTTAGCAAAGGTACTAACTGGAGTGACAAAGTTATGATTCTTAAGGTGAACATTGATATGGTGATAACCCAAAGGTGGTATGTCAAAAATTACAGTGACTGTGCATAATGTTTCTTTTCAAACTTCTGAAGAAATTCTCTTAGGGACAACTTCCAGTCAATTGATACCCCATGATCTCTTTTCTGTCTTTTCTCCATGTTTACAAGCTTTGCTAAGTCATTCATCATTTGTAATAAATAATGAAGCAAATACTAAGAGATGATTAATACAAGAAAAAATTGTATACAAAATCAGACAAATCAAAATTTTTACACTACCACATTAAGACCCCAATAGGTTAAAAGATTAGAAAAGTATTCAATAGCTAATAAATAAACATGTTTGAAGGAACTATCATTTTTTACTCATAAGTTGGTAAATAGTTTGATACTGAAAAGACCCCACGTTGGTAGGTATTTGTTGAAATTGGCACTATCATACAAGCTCAGGGTGTTTTAAACCCATACTAACCTTAGGAATAACAATTTGGAAATATATGTCAAGGGTCTTTAAAAGCTTCATAACCTTTGATTAATAATATTATTTCTAAGAATACATCATAAGAGAACAATTCCAAGTTTTAGAAATATCTTATGCCCAAGGAGTTTATATTTTACACTGAAATATAAAAATAACCTAATTCTAAAAATAAAGAATTAAAATATGATAAATACAATGAAATATGAAAACTCGTATTTATAAAGAAACTGAGATCTGATTTATCATGCAATCTCAGCTGTTGAAAAAAAAAGGTAAGCTACAAAAATATTGGGAAAAAACAATATTTATAAAGTTACAAAAATATGAACACAATATTAATTTAACCAAAATAGGGGTATAGTTATATTTTTAGAATTAATGGTGGGGAAGAGTGTATATTCCAGGAAAGAAAAACAGTTAAAACTGCTGAAGATGGTTACTATGAGATGGGACCTTCAGAGCAGGCATGATAGTAGTACTTTTGTGTAAATTATACAAATTACTTTCATATAAATACAAATTAAATTAAAAGGCAAAGGCTGAAAACAAATATACCAAAGTATCAAGAGAAGTTTTTCTTTTAGAAAGCTAGTTTTTTTGTCTTTCCTATTCTTACGCCGTCTGATAACCATGTCTCAGGAAGACAGGAGGATCCTCCTTTCACATATTTTACATTTTCAACGGTGTTTTTACTTCTTGTATCTCACTTAATTCTCATAAAAAGCCCCATGAAGTAGACATTATAGTCCTGAATTTATAATGAAGAAAATAAGAATTGAGGTAACTTATAAAAGGTCTTTTATATAACTACTGGCACTGTATTTTTCCCATACCACGGAGATATCTATAATTTAAATAGGAAAGATGTATATAGATGAAAGCTAGGGTTAGTGTTAAAGGAGTGGAGACTGGGCACTTGCA